TGCGATCGCGCGACCCTGCCCGTGAGCAATCTCCCAACTCATCTCTGTGAGCCACGAGTCAAGCTGAGTCAAATTTTATGCGTTGGTAAAGGTAACAGGTATTTCTACTCTTTAAAAGTGTTTAATGTTTTCCATGCATCCATTGGTTTCTTCTCAGTTTCTTTTCTTTATCTTGCCATGGCTGATGATATATTACTTCGAGTTTTGACGTTAAACTGTTGGTAAGTTAAATTAACCTCCAATTGGAATTGGACATACTTGAGAAATAATCATTTCTTTTTGTCATGATAACATTCCTTTTACTACTTATTTTCCTCATAGGGGAATTCCATATGTGTCGAAGAACTGGATTGCTCGTTTGCAAGCTATAATAGATAAGCTTACCACGGATGAATATGACATCGTGTGTCTTCAGGAAATCTGGTCCTCTAAGGACTTTGAAATTGTCCAGGCCAAAGTGAAGGATCACCTTCCACATGCACATTACTTTTATAGGTTAGAATGAATTAAGTTATCCATGATTTAGACAAGGACATCGTGGCTGTTCTTCATTGGTAGCAGACTTATAGTTTGTTTTCCTTTTAGTGGGGTTTATGGCTCAGGAATGTGTATTTTGTCACGGTATCCTATTCAGGATGTTATGTTCCATAAATGGGCACTAAATGGATATGTCCATAAAATTCATCACGGGGACTGGTTTGGAGGGAAAGGTGTGGGATTGTGCAAGATTATGATCAGGGACATAGTGGCTAACGTTTATACCGCACACGTGAGTTTGCTTTTTTATTTTACATGTATTATATTCATGGTTAGGAATTTTCTATTGTTCTATGAGGAATAATTATGCCTTTTAGTTGCACGCTGAATATGACAAGGAAAACGATGAGTACACGGCGCACCGAGTTCTCCAAGCATTTGACACGGCGCAGTTCATTAGAATGACCAAAGGAGGTGCTGACGTTATAATATTGGGTGGTGACCTTAATACAGAACCTCAGGATTTGGCATATCGAATAATATGTGGTACTGCCGGCATGGTGGATGCTTGCTCAATTAGCTCTAATATTCAGGGGACCAACATGTGTGCCAACAATAGTTATACGAACTCAAAGTGTGCTCGAAAGGAACCGCAAGGAAAGCGAATTGACTACATATTGTACTTAGGTTCAACGCATTACAACGTATGTCATCGGAGAAGATGTTAAATCCATATATTAAATGAATTAGAATCAATAAGTTTATTGTATCATTCTTTAATAGGTTGAAGTTACTGACTTTAAGCATCCATTTCCTGAGAGAATTCCCTCCAAGCCATTTAGTTACTCAGACCACGAAGCTGTGATGGCCCACTTTAAATTGACAAGAGGTGAGTTACGTTAAGTTCTATTCAGGCCATCACATTATCCATTACGTCAACATGCATTTAACATTCTGCTTTATTAAATTATCAGGAGAGAGAGAAGTTGCCATGTCAGATGTCAAAGATACCTTGAAAGAGGCTCTTGATATCTGTGATTTGGCATTACGAGATGTAAAGCGCCAGCGCTGTTATTATTTACTAATTGGTGGCTTGTTGGCGATACCAGTGATCTGGTCTATGGGAATAGATTGTTTTACCCAGTCTATTGGCCTGTCAATTGGTGCGAATATACTTCGACTTCTTTTAACCGCCACGTTGTGCTACGTATTGTTCATGAGTTCAATATGGAACAGCGTTGAAAGAAACGCTCTCACTGCTGGCAGTTTGGCGATGACGATTCACCTTGAGCAGCTAAAGAATAACTCAAGCAACAAGTAACGAAGACAGAGTTCCTTCTTGCCTTTTGTAAACTTACTCCTGCATAGTGAAAGATAGTTTTCGACTGTACAAAGTGTCACTGGAATCAAGTACCGCGATAATTCAGTCACTAGTATTACTATCCTTTGATAAGCTGTGACAAGTCTAAAGACGCTTTAAGACACGTCTTTACCCTAAAGTTTACCGTTATCTTCTCAAGTATTATCTATTTGTAATCTTCGCAAAGAGTGAACTGTGTCCATTGTGATAGATGCAAATCGCAATGTGTTAGAAGAGCCAATTTTTACTAAACACGAATTCGTCTATCCAGTGAATTCCTATTTTTCCAAAGAACTTGCGATTTGCAGAAAGGAAAGTGAATTGGCTCAAGTCGTTTGACAGTTTGCGGGGACGAGTATTAATAGTGTATACTTTAGGAAATTTATTCACCTAAGAGAGCAGTCTCTAGAGACTGAGTTTCCTGTAATTCCGTTAGGAATTGAGCATTTTTTAGGTCATTAAGGTGATGGAAGAGTTAGCCTATGTATATCTGAGAGGTCACATCGTTGGTGAAAGTATTCTCCGAATTGGGTATACTGATTCGTTTTAAATTTCACCAAGTGAATATGGAGGTCCTAAAGTAGGTCCTGAAACTCATGAAATTTGATTTTTCATCAAAAATTTATTTACTCATCATGGACTACAACCAACATGGCATGGCCCGTGTAAGTTTTTAATGTTTTACACTTCTTGGGGGCTTAGAATCGAAAATGAAGAGTTTCAGGACCTAGCTCGAACAGTTTAAAATATCGTAGAAATGGAATATTATTAACTCGAATGGGAAAATATGGAAAATACTTTCACCAACGATTGCAAGGGAATGCTAGCTTGTCTCGGGGTTAACGCGCGTTTTTAGAGCAACAATTTAGTTACAGATAAACGTCATAGATGGCGACGTTGGTCCTAAAGTCGTTAGAATAATGAATTCACGGGATTTCGACAGTTTTACGTCGATCTCTTCATCATTACTTTACCTAAATGACATATGGAACGTTTCAGTTCGTATAATTCTCTACGTAGACTGTAAAAGACTTCAATATAAATATAAATGTTGGTAACATGACGCGCCAGCTTATGTTACCACTTGAATATTTAAAATAGCGTTAACGCCAAAAAGAGTATAGATGAATTTAATTTTATCAACGTCGATTAAATTTCTCAGTGCCTTTCATATCACGTTAAGCGCTTCTTGTTCATGTGTGATATTGTAAACATTTCAGCATTCCCGAACACCGTGCACTGTCTAAAAGTGATGTCACTCTGCATGGAAGGGAAACGCTTCAAAGAAGAGTAGCTCCTCGTAGCTGAGTCTTGTGGTTAAATTCACAGTGGCATACAAACGTGAATAAATTTGTTTTCTACATCATATAAAGTACTATCGGTGAAGACTCGTAGGACAAGAACCTTTACGCAGGCAGGTTTTAAAGTCATGCGCATTTATTATTTCATTTACTATAATTGTATATGCTTCACGGCTTTGCTGGCAATATCGAATGAAGGATAACTATTCGTATAATTAAAATCTTTCCTCTCTTGATGCAATTCTTAGTGACGGGTTTCCGTTAACTGAATGTCCAGTGAGATCAAAAAATGAGAATTGTACCATGGTAGCCATTAAACAGAACTGAGAATCCAGTTGATTATAACTCAAACAGAGAATATCATTATTACCTAAAAAGCCACATTTATTCATAAGATTACACGACTCTAGGGACCTCAAGGCTGCGTCTCAACTTGACATCCATGGGAGCATAATTGCCCGTTACTTTCATATTTCACGCAAAATTGGACATTGACTCGACACGCAATCGCGCAATAAACTCTAAAAAGAATCGATGCAATCGATTAATTAATAAACACTCTTGCTTAACGCCTTTCATGGCGTCTGAATAAATACTCAAGACTGTTACATATACATAACCTATAAGGTGGGTAATACGTGCAGCTATTCTGATGAACATTCGAGTAGTCAGGCACGACTCAGTAGTTTAACCGTATTAAGATTAATTCCCGCGTCCACGCGGTGAAACAATGCTTGTTACAGGTTCAACGCAGATAGACGTGGGGAAAAATAAAAAAAAATCTGCGAACCTTGTCAATCATCTCATGGAACGCATCACCACTCTATGGGTTGCCTTTTAGAATTATGCTGCGACGTAAATTATCACTATCCGGGCAAGGTTTAGACGATTCGTCTTATTCGATTAGTTCTCTGCTCTTTCCGATAGCTACTGTCAATTACCGGATGGGAAATTTATTTAAATACTTGTTGAGAAACAGCGACATGCTGCAGGTGTGACTCGTTGTCTTACGACACTCCCGTTTGTATCTTCTCTTCTCCATTACCTTCAAAAGTGCGAAGATGATTGTTTGGATTTACACGTATCTACAATTAACTAAGTTTAGAAGGGTAGAGTGAATCCTACGCTGCGTGCAGATCCACAAGTTTTTTGCAAGAAGGTGTCTCCATGCTCTTTCCTTTCTCATAAAGGTCCTGATCTCTGAAGTTCCGCGCTTTCCATAATATTGTATCCTCTGTGGAAGAAGTTGACGTAGAACTTCATCGTTAAGTCAGATTCAAAAGATTATCTCAAATCAACTTACTGTAATTTTTCTCCCGATAACAGTTGTGCCTTAATGTGTTAACATATTCCTCTTCAACAGAAATCTCCAGTCTGCGTAAACTACCTTGGTACTCACTGTGGAAATTCTCTTTCACATAGTAAGGTACTTTCAGTCCTTGGGTCGTTCTGGGTACTGAATACTTCCTACAGATTTTAGAAGGAAAGATGTTAAGTATGTCGACGCAAGGAAGCACGATAGATTTTGCTGCACTTACGCATTAGACTGGAGGCTGTACATAGGATCGGATATAAAGAAGCTGCTCATCATCGTTAAGACTATTAGCAAAAGAACTGGCAACATTTGCAGGCACGCGGTATAGTCATTTGTTTGCTGGAAATGTTTATGTTAAGATGTGCCATTTGAAAAGAGCAAAGGAGAGAATGTTTAAATAATAGAGTACTTGAGAGTGACTGTGTTGCATTTGGGGATCCCGTTGTCTGGTCCATACACCGGCAGCTCGTCTTGAATAAAGTCCTTGCTGTGGAAATCCTCCACTGAAGAACATGTTAAACAATTCTTCCGCTGTCATATCGGCTGAAATATAAGAGTAAGTAGTCAGTCTTCACCAGTGAATCAGAGAACTTCTAGAGGTTTAAAAATAATTGTTGATCGTCAGTTACCTTCAAAACCTCGAGTGTAACTGTAATCAGCATGAGCTTGACGTGCATGAGCTGCTCCAAGTCTCTGTTCCTGGGAACCATACATATCGTATTGTTTTCTCTTCTCTGCATCGGTGAGAACAGCCACCGCATTACCAATAGCTGTCGTAAAAGACAAATGAAATGTAAATATTAAATTTTTACTTAAAAGAACGTCATTGAAAGTACCTTTAAAAGCTTCTGCAGCCCCAGGTGCCTTATTTTTATCTGGATGCAGTTGAAGAGCCAGCTTCTTGTATGCTTTTTTTACTTCACTGTCAGTGGCTTCCTTAGTCACTCCCAAAATCTCGTAATAATCCTTGCACTTTTTAATCCTATAAAGATATACGTTATAAACGGAAGTATAATCAATTTCTTCTACTCCCAAGGTACACACGAGTACGAAGCACCAACCTCTTAACCGATTCAATTTGCTCTTTCGTAATGTCATTGGTCGTCTGCGAGTAGACCTCTTCTTGAACCGTGACATGGCGTTTCCTGACCCCTTCAGACTTCGCATCGGGCACGCGAGTCTCCTTCATATGCAACGTTATTTGCTCCAACAGTTCTGTGGATCGAGACATCGATTAAGCTAACGAAAAAACAAAGTAACACGATGCAAGTGGATAGCAAATCGGAATACAGAAAAATTGATAGAAATTAAGTATAGGTAACGCATCAAAGAGGAAAAAGTATTGTCTCTAACGAACGCTTTAAGGTAAAAAAAATTAGGAAAACGTATTGTTTCGATGACTCAAAGGTAAGGTTAAGCAATACATCTTGAAGTCCATCGAGATGGACAATCGAGAGACTCGCTCGTGTCGCGTGACAAGGATAAGAAACATGCCAAAGGTAACAGAGAAGGATAAAGTACAAAGAGGCGGCTTCTACCTTCGACCTTCTTTGATGGGTACAGCTTTTGAGCCTTCCTGAGGAATTTCTCGGCTTTGACATAGTTCTTCTCAAAAATGAAATGATTCGCGTACTCCAGACATCGTTCTGCCTCGTCCTTGTTACTGTCCATCTCGCTCGCCCGAGGAGAACCGAGGGGGGATTTGGAAAAGTTACTTCCGCGATCCTCTATGACATAGCACAATAAATAAATTAGTTCCGATCACGAATTCCACCGGACAGTAGGGGTGCGAATGTCACGAACAATCACGAGTGACCACGAGCGTGACCACCAGTGTCGCCAACATAACGTAAGAATATATGACGGAGCCCAAAGCTTTGACTACAAAAGTATGGACTGCTAGTTGCCAACTTCACACCGGTTGCCAGGATATCAGCGCCATCGTGGACCAAGAACTAACGATTTTATATACTCCGGAGTTCTCATTTAAGGTGAAGCGAAACCCCCTTCATATCAGTCGATTCGAATACAACAATTTCTTTTAAGGGTATTAGACCAATCTGTCCGAAACTTTGACACATCACTCCTTATCATCTAAGAATTGTCCTGACACATTCAAAATTTTGATTTTTGGAAACAATTTTGTAATTCGACCTAGACCAGAACTAAAATGGTGTCGAGCTCTCATATTTCGATTTCTTTATAATTATTGTACACAAACGACAGGTAGAGTATGCCATTTGGTACGATACCCAATTTAATTCTACACAGCTGACAATATAAAAACGAACGTCGGCAACGTAGGTATTTAGAAAAATCTTTATTAACGTTGATCAAATTCTTCGATGTGTTTCACTTCACCTTAAGGTGAGGTAAGATTCGTAACCAATATTTGTATAAACATGTATAAAGGTGGATGATCAAAAAGTAAATTATGGGATGAAACAAATGGACAAGATGGATGTTTATAACCTTGCGAATACCGCATACCCTACGTCTGTCTTGTCCGCCATATTTGATACGTATTCTCCTGGTTTTCTCCGATAAACTACTTGATTTACGTAATATACATCAAAAACCTCGAAAATCGTGAAATTATCCAACCCTAACACCGGCATTTATCGTTGGTTTCCTCACGGACCTACTGCCCTCTCCATACGCGCAGTGTACTAGCGGCGGAAGCAGCGCGGAATTTAAATCGCCCAAGGGGTAGAATGGATTTCCTAAAGAAGAAAAAAATGTTTATAAACAAAAACAATTAATGATAATTATTTACATACTATTGTGAAGTGTCCCTGACTCACTTAACGTAGTTTTTGTTAAATGATTATTCACAGAATTTCTTAAAGAATGTATTAAAACATGTTTTATTAAAAGTTAACAAGTTTCTTAGCGATTCAATCGTTCCATTCACTGAAACGAAGTTAGAATATTATCTTAGCTTAAAATAAAAAAATAGTTTATTAATACTTATACAGTGAAAGGCCATAGGAAAATTTACAAGGCATCCACTTTCGGACATAGAAGCGGAATCATGATTTTATGTCTCTTATACATTCACGTTCTACACCTTTAGGAAATCCATTCTGCCCCTTGGGCGATTCAAATTCCGCGCTACTCCCGCCGCTAGTACGCCGCGCGGCCGGAGAGGGCAGTACGACTGCTAGGAAACCATCGATGAATGCCAGTATACGCATAAATGCATTGCGTTCTTATGGCAGCTTCCATTCTACCCGATCTTTTTTGGATCTGTTGAGTCTATGGTTTTTCAACAGTTCCCGCGCATTGTAACAAGATCTCTGCCAGTTTATTTAAATTCTTTGTTATTTCAAAAGACCTGATATATTGATCTGAAAGGGACCAAAGAACTATGTAAAGATGTATATAAAGTCCATGGTATTGGAAGGATTCAAATCATACGGGAATAGAATCGAAATTAACGGTTTCGATAAAGAGTTCAATGCAATTACTGGTTTTAACGGTAGCGGGAAATCCAATGTGTTAGATGCGATATGTTTCGTACTAGGCATTACTAATCTCAGCCAGGTATCCTTTCTAAATTTTATTGTAAAGTGAATTAACAATGAAACATTTGTACATTGACTCGTATGAAGTACGGTTTCATGGGTCATCTTGAAATAATCTAGAAGAGAAACGTTCATTTTTCAGCTAGAACAAAGTACCTCGTATTCTTAAGATATTATATCGTATTCTATATTTAATTAGACAACAGTTTGTACGTCATTATTCATTTTTTAGGTACGTGCTAGTTCTTTGCAAGATCTTGTCTATAAATCAGGACAAGCTGGCATAAAGAAAGCAAGCGTTACAATTACGTTTGACAATCGAGATGCAGCTTCTTCTCCAATTGGTTTTGAAGAATACGAAGAAATAACTGTTATGAGACAAATAGTAATAGGTGGTAAAAATAAGTACATGTTAAATGGTTCCAATGTATCTAATAAACGAGTCCAGGATATGTTTTGTTCGGTTCAACTTAACGTGAACAATCCACACTTTTTGATAATGCAAGGTAGAATTACTAAGGTTTTAAATATGAAACCAATGGAAATTTTGTCAATGATCGAAGAAGCTGCAGGAACCAGAATGTATGAATTAAAAAGGCAGGCATCTTTGAAGTTAATAGAAAAGAAAGAAAACAAAGCACAAGAAATTGATCATGTAAGTATCTATTAAGACTGATTTATTTAGTAACCATTAAAAGTAAGAACGATTTCTCACAAAACTTAAATGAAACTATTGACATCCGATAATAAGAATTTTTGTATAGATTTTAAAAGAAGAAATAGGTCCCAGAATAAAGAAATTAAAACTGGAACAATCGCACTTTGAAGAATTTCAACGAATTGAAAGGGAATTAAATCTTTACAGACGAATACATATTGCTTGGAAGTATGTTACGGCATTGGAGAAGAGTAAGAAAGCCGAAGAAGATGTGCAAAAAGTAAAGGATAAAATTAAAGAGAAACAGAAATACATTGATGATAGCAAACAGAATATTATTAATATTGATCAGCAAATAACAGAGATAACAGAAAAAAGAAATCAGGTTTGTACAGTTGTGAAATTTGCTAATGGATGAATTTTTTTTTAGAAATATTAATTTTATGAGTCATTGTATACATATTTTTAGGAAAAAGGTGGCAAATTGGAAGCCATAGAACGTGAGCTGAAGGTTTCTGAAAACAAAGAACATAAATTAGTTGCCGAATTTAATAGTCATAAACAAGATATCAAGGCAAAAGAGAAAACTATTGTTGAACTAAAGTCAAGTATTGCCGATGATGAAAGGTTATTAGCCACAAAAGAGGAGGAACTAAATGCAGTGGGTAATTTGTTTAAAAAATTAAAGGAGGACGAACAACGTGACCATGCAGCTCTTTTAGCTGCACAAGAAAAGTATCAACGCATATCGTCTGGACTCCTGGAAAATGAAAATGGTGAAAATGCTACGTTAGAACAACAATTAATTACTGCCAAACAGAATGCAACACAGGCACAAACAGAAATTAAACAATGCGAAATGGCGTTAACTCATGCAAAAGAACAATTAAGCAAGAAGGAAAAAGAGATGCACAATACAGATAAAGAATATGTAAATGACAGTAAACAGCTGGAAAATAAAGAAAAACAATTAAAGAATACGGAAAACAATTTAAAGAAGTTGGACTACGATGAAGGGGCTTTAGAAGCAAAGCAGGAACAGAAGCGTGTTCTACTGAAAGAAGTAAGGGATTTACAAGAGAAATTGGATATTTTTGAATCAGGACATCCTAGATTAAGATTTCAATACAGAGATCCTGTGCCTAATTTTAATAGAGCCACTGTTTGGGGCTTAGCTTGTAAATTAATCAAGATGAGAGATTCGCGAAATGCGCATGCATTAGAAAACGCAGCTGGAGGGAAGGTATAATTTCTTTAAGCATTAATATTGACATACATATATTTACATGTCCCTCTTTCTGATATATTTAATCTTTCAGTTATATAACGTGATAGTCGATACCGAAAGCACAGGTAAATTATTACTTCAGAAAGGTCAGCTTCAACAACGAATTACAATTATTCCTTTAAATAAAGTAACGGGAAGAACAATGGATCCTCAAACTATTAAATTTGCACAAAATCTTGTCGGTAAGGAAAATGTTCAACCTGCCATATCTCTCATCGATTTCCCTGAAGAAGTTAGGCCAGCAATGAATTGGATATTTGGGCAGGTGTTTATATGCAAAGACATGAATACTGCTAAAAAAGTATCTTTCCATGATATGATCGGCAAAAAATGTGTGACTCTTGAAGGTGACGTTTTTGAGCCTACAGGAATTCTTTCGGGTGGAGCGATGTCAAAAACTGGTTCAGTTTTATTGAAACTGAACGAACTGAAAACAATACCAGAGCAATTAGATGAGAAAAAGCAACTTATCCAAACGCTAGATGCTGAAATTGCAAAGATCACTCGAGTTGCGGAGCAATATAAACTTTTGAAAGAGAAATTTGATCTCGAATGTCATGAGGTGCATTTAATCAAACAAAGGCTGCAACAAACCACTCATCATAAAATTAAAGAAGAGGTAAGTTTATAAACGCAGTGCATTTGCTTCACTTATTTTTATGTAAGTACATTGAACATGCAAAAGGTATTTAAAAAATTCTTCTGTATCTGGAAATATAGGTGGATGCCTTGACAGCAACAATTCATGATATGACACAAAAAATGACAGTTGCAAGAAAACTGAAAGAAGAAAATGCTGCGCGTACCAAAAAATTAGAAAGTCAGTTAACAAATTCTGCGAGTATTCGTGACCAACAATTAGCAGAGGCTGAGAATCAACTTAAAATATTACAGAAAAAATCTGAAGGAAGCCGAAAAGAATGGCAGAATAGGGAGCAAGAGTCGGAAACTCTCAATTTGGAAATAAATGAATTACAACAGACTATTCAACTTAGTAAGGAACAACTAGCTAAGTTGGAAAACGAGCTTGTTATGCTTAACGAAAAAGCAGAACAATTAGAAAATGAATTGACCGAGATAAAAGCTATTGTAAAAGAAGCACAAAATAATTTAAAAACGCATAAGGACAGTATACATCAACAAAGTAAGGAAATTCAACAACTTAATTCCAAGAAAGATGAAATGATTAAAAAATCAGGTGATCTGGAACTGGAAATAAGAGAATTAAATCATGATGTTGATTCTGCAAAGAACAGCAGTAGCGGATACAAAAATACTGTTACTGATTTGAAACGAAAATATGAATGGATTGAACAAGACAAAGCATATTTTGGAGAACCAGGTGTTAATTTGTCTTTCTTAAATTAATATTTCAAGAGCCAATTTTTATTTTTACTTAAAACTAACTTATCTACTTTTATTTTTAAATAGGTGGTATGTATGACTTTGAAAAGAAAAATATAGAAGATATACAACGAAAAATATCCGAATTAGACACTTCACGCGAGAAACTGAGTCATAATGTTAATGCTAGAGCAATGCGCTTATTAGACAAGGAAGAGCAACAGTACAATGAAACTTTAAAGAAGAAAGCCATAATTGAAAACGATAAGCGAAAAATATTAGAAACCATTAAGCACCTCGATGGGAAGAAGAAAGAGAGTTTGTTAAAAGCTTGGCAAGAGGTAATTAAGACAGTGTACAATTTGAATTACAAATATTTTAATCAACGTAATATATATCTTTACCATCATGCACTTTTGTAGGTTAACAAAAATTTCGGATCAATATTCAGTACTTTATTGCCCGGTGCCGAAGCAAAACTACAACCACCAGAAAACCAAACTGTATTAGATGGTTTAGAAGTAAAAGTTGGATTTTCTGGAGTTTGGAAAGATTCATTAGGTGAACTTTCCGGTGGACAGAGATCACTAGTTGCATTATCTTTGATTCTGGCTATGCTGTTATTCAAACCTGCACCTCTGTACATTTTGGATGAAGTCGACGCTGCTTTGGATCTTTCGCATACAGAAAATATTGGAACAATGTTACACCGGCATTTCAAACAATCCCAATTCATCATTGTATCGCTAAAAGATGGTATGTTCAATAACGCGAATGTATTATTTACAACCCGTTTCATTGATGGAATGTCGACGATATCACGAACACATAGATCAAAATCAAAATAACAGTACCGTAATACATTGTATACAACTAATTAATAAATAATACGATTTTGTAATACCATAACAAATATTCTCTTCCCAGGATTCTATAATACTTTGGTACAGGATTCGAATGTTACTTGTCGAATTAATGCTCTCATAGACTGTATTAATTCTAGCAATATACATCTAGGTACAAGATACGAAAGGCTAAGTACAATTAAAAGAACAACCCAGTGAACACTTATATAACTGTTGGGTAAATGTTACGTTTTCGAAACTAACACGTTATGTAGCATAAAAGTAACATGGAATTTAGATGTTTCTTATTATTTCCCCCTCATTAAGGTAACATGTTACATTAACATTATATTAATGTTATAATTTCAGTTACCTTAAAATAATATTCATTTTTCATACATTTAATAAAAAAAATCACACAATTTTATCTAAAATTATATAATTTTTTTATTTTTAATTATTTTTTGGTACTTGACAGTAGTTAGATATTAAATGACAGGTCAGACTCAATGAAATTATGTAATGGTAAACTATCTGATTTTACTAAAACTATTATGATTTCCTTCGACTAGCAAACAATTACTGATAATGTATGTGTGCGTACAAATTAAAATCACATTTTTTCATATGAGTAGTAAACAAAATATGACATATATTAATCTTATGACATTTGACGATGAATTATGACAATGAGGATGACGGTGATATGATAAAATAGATGACAGTTTGCATCAATGTAGTTCTGTTTTGTTACAAATATGTGCTGCATATACACAGTAACATGATGTAAGATAGGAGTAATAAAGTTACGCCACATTTATGCAGATATGATAGTAACAAATGTTATGTAACCTGTTAGCTCCATGTTACATAACTGTTAAATTACTTTATTGTAACAAATGCCATGTAACTAATTAGCTCTATGTTACGTAACTGTTAGATTATAACATTGTAATAAACATTATGTTATTTGTTAGTTTTAAGTTACGTAACTGTTAGGTTTGCTGTTCAGTGGTTAAATATATCTGAATAATACTATAATAAAGGTATTAAGTAACGTGAGCAATTTGAGCAAATGTAGTGTAACTTTGTTACTCTTATCTCACATTATATTACTGTCCTGATATTACTGTGTATATGCAGCACATTTGTAACAAAAGAAAACTACATTGGTGTTAATTGTCATCCATTTTACTGCATCATCGTCATCGTCAAATGTCATATGATTATTATATGTCATATTTCGTTTATTACTCGTATGAAAAAAATGTGATTTTAATTCGTACTCGCATACACATTATCAGTAATTGTTTGCTAGTCGAATGAAATCATAGTCTAAATAAAATCAGATAGTTTATCATTCACATCATTTCATTTAAAGTCTGACTTGTCATTTAATATCTAACTATTGCCAAGTATCCCTAAATAATACAAAATAAAAAATTTCATAATTTTTTATAAAATTGCATTATTTTTTGTTAAATGTTTGAAAAATTAATATTATTTTAAGATAACTGAACTTATAACATTAATATAACATGTTACATAACATGTTACCTTATTGAGTGGGAAATAATAACAAACATGCGGATAAAATAAATAAGGTAAGTGAAGGGTAAAGTCAAAGACGTCACGCGTGTTCTTCCCTTACCATCGAATGCGAGCAGTGTCGGTAAACGTAGGTAAACCATCACCATCAACTGCCGAATGGTATTACCATCACATGTACGTGAGCCGCCAACTGCGACTGGTAGATGGCACCGACATAGTGAGCGCGCAAGCCCCTACCAGAAATTTGTTGCGTCGCCCTTGGGGGCAGAGCGGCGAAAGCTAACGTACGAAACCAGAGGGCAGCACAGGATGCGATCGCGCGACCTTGCCGTGAGCAATCTCCCAACTAATCTCGGGGCGTTTATTACATATTTTTGACGACCGCGCTCACTTCTCGCACTTTCATCTCGCGTGGGTTTATTCGCCGAATTACGTATTCGCTATATGAATGAACAACATCACTAGCACTTCCAGCCTAATAATATTGCAAATCAAGGTATATGTGTACCTTGTAAATCGAAAATTGTTGAGAGGTTTGGGTTATAGGCAGGAAAGGCGGGAAGATGGAAAGCCTTTAAAAGTAAAGAAGAGGACTCGAGTCTATTCATATTTTTTAATATGTATTACATTTATATTTACATTCACTATAATTAGAAGTTCAACAATATATTTTTCTTATCATGTCATGTAAGCATGAATTATTTAACAGTTTTCAATGTTTAATAATGCAATATAACCTCGTAATAACAAAAAAATAGTGCCGAGCCAGTTCACATGAATGGTCTCGCATTTTCACCACCAAAAGCGTTCCGTAATACCGTCAGCTACTCATTTTTCACATTTTCGCTCAATTTGCTTTACGTAATAGACCCCCTGATTCGTATATTCTTACGTCCATGGCCTACCCATGCAAATTTATTGGTTATGTGTCGTTGCGTGTTTGATGATACGCTTGGATACATTACCTATGTATTAATATTGAACACAGCTTCAGTAAATATTTATGAATAACAAATTCACATTACAATGGTAAGAAAACATGCGGTATAATGTGTTCTCTTACGTTGGTGTTATCATTGTCTGATGTAGTTTCATACTGTAAATAAATTGTTATCTATGGATGAATTAGAGTTTATTAATTTCTTTTATAAAACTTATAGTATTCGTTGGTACATAAGATCGAAAATGCTCACGAGGACAGCATCTGGACGTGTGCATGGGGTGTTACGAAGAAGGGAGGCACACAGATGGACACCGAAGATTCAAGGTATGATTTTAAGTTTTAATATAGAAAATTAATTGGTATAGTTATTTAACATCGTCTACAGAGACTCGGTACGTTCCAAAGAAGAAGAAATGGAATACCTGGTTACCGGATCAGTGGATGATACTGTGAAAGTTTGGGAGCAGCAAAAGGGAACCCTTAAATTCAGACATAAATTGACTGGTCATTCCCTTGGTGTCGTTTCTGTAGCTGTCAGCTCTGATGGCACAAGTACGTATATATTACCTATGTTTACAAGGTAGATATTTAATTGTTTATAAGTTTTGAAATTCTGTAAACATAACATGTGTTTTTAGAGTGTGCGTCCAGTTCCCTTGATTCCAGTTTACGACTGTGGAATATAGAATCTGGAGAGAAAATATCTAGTATAGACGTAGGTCCAATAGACATTTGGACGGTAGTTTTTTCTCCCGATGATAAATTCATTGTATCAGGCAGTCACGCAGGAAAGATTCACTTATACGGCACAGAAAGTGGGAAGCAGGAACAAACATTAGATACGAGAGGTGGAAAGTTTACATTGAGCGTAGCATATGTAAGTAATAAACCAATTTCCCAAGAAACGTGGTTTTTTAGGCAATTGATATTTCAGAGTCCCGACGGCAAATACATTGCTAGTGGAGCAATAGATGGAATTATCAATATATTCGATGTGGCTTATGGAAAGGTATTGCGAACTCTAGAAGGTAAAAACTTAAATCTCCTTTACGTACTGTAATGTAAGTCCTTGTACTACAAAAGTTTTCATTTTCAGGTCACGCAATGCCTATCAGATCACTTAGTTTTTCACCTGATTCCCAACTACTCCTTACAGCATCTGACGACGGTCACATGAAATTATATGATGTGTTAGTGTCATTGATCGTTACTGATTAACTAATGATTTTTCCATATCAGTAATATACTATTTGTTTACAGAAAAGATGCCATTGTAGCAGGAACAATGTCAGGGCATGCATCATGGGTACTTGGAGTAGCATTTGCATCAGACAATAAGAGGTTTGCATCGAGCAGCTCCGATCACACAGTCAAAGTTTGGGATTTGGCACAGAGACAATGTTTGCACACGTTTGTTGAACACAAGGATCAGGTATGGGATTAAATCATATAAAAAGATATAATATAATTCTCCACTTACCTCATTTTATGGTACAAAAGTCAACATAATGTTTCAGGTTTGGGCAGTCAAGTACCACCCGGGAAAGAATAACACTCTTGCCTCGGTGTCTGAGGATAAATCAATTAACTTATATGAACATCCGGTATGAGTGGCTGTGTATATAATTGTGATACGATTGAACGCTTTTTTTTTTTACAATAAAACAAACTTCATTACCGAAACCAAAGGGTTTCTTGATGAAGATTTTACATTAGATTTTATGGAGTTATAAAGCTTTTGGATGCTTTCATACGATATCAGTATTCATTGGGAAGGTGTGGGTAATCATGTTAATAGAAACATGAGATCGCTTCTGTTTTTAACACGTTTTCATTCAAGTGGTATCGAAGAGTATAGGTAACGACTGTACTTCCATCCAAGTAATTACAAGGGTTCGAAGATTCACCGTTAATTAATCAAGTTTCCGATTTACCTGAATCCTCGGCTTTATTACTATACGATACACGATCTGCTGGATCCTACGATTACAAAGGCTGAACGAATTGAAAGGGATTGAAGAGCTTCGATGATCATGAGAATTGAGAATGCAAAATCAGTTCCGAGAAGACTAAGAAATAAATAGGCGAGCAGGAAATCCTATGAAACGTAAAGTCTCAAGTAAAAATAAATGCAAATTCAAATGCAAAATTCTTTACCTTCTATAAATAGCACGTTATTCGTCGAACTTTCAGAGATCAATGACTGCCTCACTCCTTTTCAGTGAGAAAAAAAGAAAAGTGAATTCATGTCGGAGACCTTTTCACGTTACAAAATTCTTCATTTGACTATCTTGCTTTTCATATAAAAGTGAGACGCTTGAAGTAAAAAATGGACGTGTTGAAAACTGTTTTTTTTTCCCCTTTTTGATAGCGCGCTCGTAAAAGCATCTTCGAGCGATAAAACATGAAACAGAGAGAAGATAAGAGCGGCAATGCTCCCTGATTCGAGGCTTAAATTTTCGCAGAATACGCGCGCTGTTCAAATGGAACTTGAAGTGATACTTTAGGAACGTCTTAATGAATGTAAAGAAGGAATGGCGTTCTGATTAATTTCAGATAAACGACGGGTCAAAAATTCATGACCGCGAAAGTGAGTACATGGTTAATCTTATGGTCCCTATAATTCTAGGGAGTGGAGATTCCGGTAAAACGGAAACCTGGCCGCCGTAATAAGTAAACCACTACGTGAATCAAGCGCCGACCCTCTGTAAAAATCTCAGTGGTTGGGACTTGACCCGGCGGGCGTAGATAACACATGAGTATAGATTAAACCTAGCGCTGCTCGACACAATAGTAATAATACCAGACGTAAATTTGTACGAAAGACCTACGAATGCTAGCTGTCTTTCCTAATCACATTAGCGAACCGATTATACGAGTCACAACCTTAAGGTACTACGTGCTCAAGTTCGACCTCGAGCCGTCACGGCTCTTCATCGACACCGAACTAAAAATAATTTAACCGACTATACGAACGAAGCACGATCGGGATAGGACGCTCTAAAATCGACGGAAGCTCTTAATCGAACAAAAGACGAGTATTTGTCCGACGGGACCTAATTATTAATACAAGAACGCAAGAGAGAGGGAGAGAAAGATGCCGAGTGACGCGATGACTCCGGTGGTGCCGTGGGTCGCCATCTTGGACCCCCGAGGTGCGCGATTGGTCGGCGAAATGCTACGTCATACCCAAATTAAGAGTTCCATTAACGTATCCCTCTCGTGCAACGAAATTCTAAAGTCGCGTCTTCGGCGTCTCGACATTAAAAACCCCCTGGAGTCTAAGTAAAAGTGAATGCACCGTAGTTCTCGCAGAAAGTCTAGAAAAGGGAAAGCACTTCTATCCAGAGGGGAGCGACCAATCGCGCACATTAGAAGGAGTCCAATAGGGCAAATGGGTGCACCAGCTCGCGAGCCCAATAAATAAACGTTCATTGCCCATTGAAATCAGGATGAAATGCACCCTGCATTAGTTAGACACTCGTCACCCTCCTGGAAGCCGTAGCTTTCTTGGCTTGGAGCTCTCCCAGGTCGGCGTTCTTCATCTGGGTGTCCACCTTGAGCAGAGCGGGCTTAGTAGCGTCCTTGGGGTTATAATTGAAAGGCGAAACGATAGCAGCTGCTGGAGCTCGAATATTGCCGGTAACGATTTGGGTCTGCAGGAAACCATCAGCCCTGAAGGAGTCCGCCCTGAAGAGAGAGCCAGGTTGAGAGGACCTCTTCGCCACCAGGCCAAGACTCTCCTTAGGGATTTTGGCGTTCTGGAGGCCCTTCGTAGGAATCCCAGTCTGGGACAAATCCCGAGGGCCTCTGGAAGCCTCTCCAGCTTGCTTAACTGGAATTTTGCAGGGGGATCCCTGAATCCCCGTGAAATCGCAAGAGTTGCGATAGGACTTAGCTTGCTTGACCTCGACCTCAGTATTATCAGCCGGTCTTTCTGAGTCCAGCTTTGTTTCTTGCTCTGCGCTCTTCAGGAGCATCTCGAAGGTCGAGCTTCGCCTCATTGCCAAGGCCGGTAACTCGTCCATCTCGTTCGCACAAGTACCAGGAGACGATTGATTGTCAGGCCTAACTTGATGTTCCTTACCAGCTTGATGTCCTTTACCAGCTTGATGTTCCTTTGGCTTGTCAATCTTCTTCTGGAATTTCTTCGGAGGATACCGCCCACGTGGACCGGTGGTGCTAATCGCGTTGGGGCTCACCTGTTGCTCGGACTTATGAGGGGACACCTCTTTGGATTGGTCCTTATCAGCACTAGAGCTTCTCTGCAGCTTCAACGGACTGACTGAATGAACCCTGATGGTCGCCGCTTGGTGGATGTCGGAGAGGTCATCCAAAACCTTGGCCTCAGGTTCCAGGGGGAGTATCGCGGGCACGTTCTCGTTCTCTGGCTCGTCTTTGGTGAAGGTACCCTCTCTCTTTAGGGGAGCAACGATTGGGGCGACTGTCGTGGTCTCCTCAGACTGGATGCTTTCTGCAGGGTTCTGACTCGGGTTGGACTTAATGGAAGGTGGAGCGGACCTCTTCCTAGGGATGAAGCTCTTGACGGGTGCGGGAGCACTCACACTCTGTCCACGTTTTTCGTTGACCTTGGTCGCAGATCCAGTTTTCAAGGCTGTCTTGGGTTTTGGGACGATTCTCTGGGTGGATGTAAGGCTGGTACCGTGTTGTTTGGCCGTTGTTAACCTCGACAACTTGACTGCTGGGGCGGCGTTGGCACGACCTACGGGAATTGTGCTGACTGCAGGGCTGACCTGTTTGGAGGAGAACGAAGGTGCCGCCTTCTTCGGCATGTTTGGCTTTGAGTAAAGTGGTTTCCTCCTTCCGCGAACGACCTTGACGGTCTCTGGCTCGATCTTTTCGCTGCTGGAATCATTCGTGACGCCTTTGCTGATGGAGCCTGCCTTTACGATGCGTGGTCCCGTTTTTTTGGGCCAGTCTTGAGTACGCTGTTCTTTTTCAAGTTCAGCCTCGCAGTTCTCTATCTTCTCCTCGGACTTGGAGGAAGTGTACCTTTCTGCCAGGTGCCGGACGTTCGCTGTGCCGGTCATGCTCTTCGACCTCCCGAACGCGCAGTACATCTTCTTCAGTTTCGAGGTCGACTTATCGTTGTACACTTTGGTAACAGTCCCAGAGTCTTGTCGTGTCTCGTCTTCAACAACCTCGGGGTCCTCGTTCATCTTGCTCGGGGTTTCTACCGTGAAAACTTCATCATCCGACATCTTCTTCATCTCCTTGGAGTCGTCTTGCTTTTCATCCAAGCTGGAACTACGGTCGATTGAGCCGTTACTCAAGGAACTCTCCGCCCGGCTCAAGGTCCTCGTCCTGTATCTCTCCTGGTGGTCCTTCCTGCTGTTGTGGCGCTTTCTTATGGGTTTGCCGACAGGAGACTTCTTCGGTATGGGGATGACCGACTTGAAGACGGGAGAGTCTGCAGATTCCTCGTTCCGTTCGTCGCAGGCCGCTTGGTTGTCATCGCTAGACTCGTTCTTGCGAACAACCAGGGCGGGGAAGGTGTTCTTCAACACCTGGGTCTGGAATCTAGCTCTATCCTCCTGCCTACGTTGTTTTGGAGTCAGGCTCTTGAAGGGCGAACTCTTCCTTCGGTACTTGGCCACCTCGTTCTCTTCGTGTTTCTCCTTGTTGTCGGGCATCTCCGTATCTATCGTGTAGGTCTTGTACCGTTCTTTTGACAACAGCCTTTTCTCTTTCGGGGTGAGTTGACTCTTTCCAAGGGACCTTTCTGATGTGTCTTCTGGACTATCTAATCCATTCTCCAGCGAGCTACTTCTGACCGGGTCGACTGCAACTGTTGCTTCCGGCTCGTCTTCAGGGTCGTGAACTAGATCATTCGCGTGTGGTGCCTCCTCGTTTTGGATCTCTGCCTCCGAATCACTGGAGAGGTTGTCGGTAATAACCTCAGTGGTGAAGCCGTCCATCTGGCTGACTTCATTGAACAAAGAGGGCGGCTTGATATTCTCCAGGGTCTCACTCAGATGGTTATTGGCGCTGCTGTGCATAGAATCTATGTAGTGAGACCTAGCGATGGAGAATATACTGTGCACCACGGTCCTGGCCAGGTCGCCGTCGACCAGGCTGTGAGACTCTTTCTCTTTGGCGTCGACTATGTCGGAACTGATGCTGGAGACGCTCATTATGCTGTTGCCCATGTCCGCGTCCAGCATCTCGTCCATCAGGGATGGAGGCTTTATGTTCTCCAGCTGGGAGTGCATGCTAATGTTGTAGTTCCCCAGGAGGTTCTCCAGACTCCTGGAGTGCACCTCGCCCCCTGGATTTAGAACTCCCTCGTTGTAGGTCGGGGTGATGGACGACGCCTCGCTCCTGTCCTGGCTGTTGATCGTCTCCAAGCTGTTCATCCGGTTGTCGGTGATGTCTACACCGTTAACACCCATTATTGAGAACATTGCACTATCTGTCAGCAAACCGCTTGGTCCGCGGTCCAGGAACTTCGTGTGGGTCGGATTCATACCCTCGTGGTACTTCGGCAGAGCTCGTCCGTCTATCACGTCACTTTCGAATGACGCGATTAGAGGAGCACTCACACTGATGCTGGGAAATGATACGTCGTTCTGAGAGTCGTCATTCCAAATGTCGCTGACCGCGCTGCGTTTCGTGGCCGAGGTGGAATCTTGCTCTTTTGTGGAATCTGATGGGATGACTAGCGTAGTGGTCGAGTGGTCCGAACACGAGATCGTCGCGCTGAATTCCCTTTGTCCCGTGCATCCCGTAGTTTCTTCAGGGTGTCCGTTGATTCTTGACTTTCTTAATGCCGTGAACATCGAGTCTGTCGTCGAACTTGGCCCGCAGTCCTCCGAAATCGTCGCCGATGCGCTTCGGTCTACGAGGTCACTCCTACTTGATCGTTCCTTCTCCTTCGAGAAGAGTGTAGGAGTGTTTTCCTGGATTGTACGTTTCACGATGTCATAATTGTTCAGAAATTCGCTTTTCCAAACGTTGGACTCTTCAAACTCATTTGTGGACTCAGTCTCCTTCGTCGTGACCAACGGCATGACTAGCGTAGTAGTCGAATTACTTGGAGACCTGACTTCCAATTTGGGATCTCTTAGCTCGGTGCATTCCTTTGTTTGCTTGATACTTTCATTGAAACCCAGCCCGCTGTCGTCTGAAATAATTCCCTCGATTCTACTCGAGGGCTCCTCCTTGAGCGCAAAGAGAGCTAGAGTATTATCTACGGAGCTTGTATTAAGGAATCCTGCAGGACTTCCAAAAACCCTGGAGGTTTCTAGTGTTTCGCTATCGTACGTTTCAACGCAACCGGACGTCGGTTGAATTGATCTTTCGGTAGAGGTAGGAACTAACGTGGACGTGGTCCGGTCTATTCGACCACTTCCGCTATCGCGACTATCGTTACCTTCATTTTTACCAACTCTTTGAGACTGATTCAGCGGTATCATAGACGTAATTGTTTTAACTAATGTTTTCTCTGACTCGGTAATTACGGGGTGCGGTGAAAGAGGTAATGTGTGGGAGTCGGTAATGGACAAGGTAGCCGATAAGTTTGGTCTATCAAGAGCAAGCGATGGCTCTAGGTTTTCACAAACAGTCGTCTTTAGGGTCGCATCGATGCTGATTTCCGTTTTGTCTGCAGAATGTGTAATCGCATGTTCGCATAATGCCGAAATCCGGATAGCTTGCTCCAAGGCTTCAGCAGAAGATGTAGAAGTCTCACTTATCGACGTATTTGAAGTGCCCTGAAATGCAGTATACCACTTGATTAATTCATTTAAAAGCACAGACATTTCCAGTGGAAAAGAGAAACAATTAAAATCCGACGCAAGTTAAAGAACCAAATATGATTCAGCTTTACGTACCAGAGTGGACCTGCACTCTTGTATCCTCACAAGTGATCGACTACCACCCTCTGCTAAAGGGTCCTTAACCAAATCATCAGCATGCAAAAAAGTAACATCCTCTTCAGCAAAGGACGTCGAGTCGTGAAGCCTAAGAGCCCTCAAATCATTGTCGCTCTTCAAATCCCCTGAACTGTGTTCAGCTTCATTCAAGGGTTCATGACTTATAGGGCTCTTTTCCGCTTTCTGCTTGTCGGGGGTGTTCTTTCCAAACAACTGCTTATTCCTAGAAATAGTAAGTAGCTTAGTTTAAGTGATAAAATTCTAGACCGTTGAAATTGACCGATCATCACACATTACCGGTTATTTTGTATTCCGATGCTGATGCAGTCAGCGAGCAAATTCTCGTTGCCCTCTTCGCCATCGCTGGCTTGTTCAGTTTGTAAGTCATCCAAGGATAGATTTCCAAATGTCTCTCTCTTCTGGATGTTTTCCAAGCTAGCATCCTGACTGACATAAGAGGTAGACCTCTCGTCCACTTCTTTGTCCTCGACGGAATGTGTTTTCCTCTTGTCCTTTTCCGTTTCCCCACCGTACGTGCTCTTCGTCTTCTTCTCCCGCAGGTAGACCCTACTTCTCAAGTTCTGCTCATCATCATCAGAGGTGTCATTGGCGTACCTCAAGCTATACTTTAAGTCATCAGACTTGTCTTCGATGAGGTACGCCGTGTCGAGTTTCTCGTCGTCATCGGAAACGCGCTCCGAATACCTTAAACTATAATTAGCCGGCTCGTCCGATTTGTTTCCCGACTCGTTATCAGCCAAGTATGCGTTATCATGCTTCTCGTCTTCGTCCGAGGCGTGTTCAGCGTATCGCAAACTATAATCCGTAGGCTCATCCAAGTGGGACTCCATTTGATATTGCTCTAGCGGGTCCCTTTGCGGTTTCAGCATTTGACAAGAAGCCAAAGTCTTCTGAACGTCGTTTAAAAGGGTTTCTTGATGTGGTGACTTGTCTCCATACATCTTGCTCTGACTCGTGGCCTCCTTGTACAGAAGTGTACTTTTCCGGCTCGCCAGATTATTTGACTTTCCCTCAAACGCGGACTTCCCAATAAGCTTCTGCATGTCCGACTTCTCACCAGATGAAGCTTTAGGTTGCTTAAAAAAATTAAATCCCATATCCGACTTGGGCGCCACCGCCGTATAATTATCCTCGAACGCGGGTGTCTGTGAGTTGTACTGTATATGAGAAAAAGCGGAGTCCTCCGAGTACCAGGACGAAGAACCTCGACTACCAGGCTCATTAACGCAACTAGTTTCCAGCGATTTTGTATGTAAAGGTGCAGCGTTAGCATTTAAAAATCCATATTTATCCTGCGCATGTGTGTCCTTTGGTCTTCCGAAAGTGCTAGAATTGAACTTCGAAGTGAATGGATCTCTGCTCCTGATGTCAGTCGGTGCGGCTCTGTGTAAGGCATCCAAGTTCATTCTCTTCAGTAGAGCATCTGATTGAGGACTGTGAATCCCTCGCAGCACTTCTTTCTTCTCCGCTTTACAATCCGTCTTGTAACTCCCCACAGGAAAGCCAAACTGATGGCAGAATACGTGCGACGACCTGACGGGTTTCCCGATCTCGCTGAAGTTGGTATCCACATGGAACGAGAACTTCTCATCTTTGTTTGTGGGAGAAATACTGGGCTCTATATTGTCACAGGTCTCTGCCAGATTCTGGTCGATTTCCTGTTCCAACGCCTTCTGCCTCCTGGCGACTAAAACAGGAAGAGTGGGTAAACCGAGCTTCCTGGCGGTGGAGTCGAGGTGTATGAGATTACTGCTGCCAGGTTTGGCACCCAGCAAGTTCTTCAGGGTGGCGCTCGAGCCCATGGAGATCATCTTGTGTTTGGAGTGCACCAGGCTCCGCAGCATAGGAACGGCTCCCAGGTCCCAGAGGAGCCTCTGATCTTGGGGGCAGCGAGCAGAGAGGTTCCAAAGAGTACCACAGGCATTGCTGACCACCGTTAAGCTGGGAGATCTCAACTGTTGAAGAAGAACCTGCAGACAGCCCCGTTCCCTGAGGATGCACCTGTAATCCTCCCTAACCGCAATATGGCTGGACACGTTCCTTAATATACCTCCAGCGTTTTCAACGATGGCCATGGTCTTACTGGGGGCCTTGTAGCTTAACATGTCGACGAGAAAAGCTAGTGCTCCTTCTACCGCGCAGATGTTAACTTTGTTTATGCTGCAGTGCGCCGAGAGGTTCCACAGCGCTGAGAGTATGGACTTCAAGGTTGGCTCCTTTCTGCCTTCCATGGCAGCTTTGGTAAGACCGGTGACTGCTCCAACCTCCCTTAGGGTCTGTTTGCTGTTGGCGTCGGCTCGCCATGAGAGGTTCCTCAGGACACTCGCGGTCACTTGTCGCAGGTCGTCGCTGGGGCTATGCAGCTGGGACACGAGCGCCTTCATGAACTTCCTGAAGGAGCAGAGGAGAGCCTTGTTCTTGCCATCACCAAACGTTAGGTTGGTCAACGCCATCCCGGCATAGCGTCGTACGGTAATGCAATTTTGATCGTCGCACTCGCTGCCATGAGAAGAGTGGTCTGTCTCGATGAGCTCCGCAACTGCGTGTAGACCGCCGAGCTGGCAAATGGCGTGTCGGTGGGCCTCGTCAAAGGAGAGCTTCATCAATGCGGCTATTGCTGGTCCTGGGTGGCGATCGAGATCTTCAGATTGCTGGCCCAGGGCGAGGGAGGTTCTAATCTTCTGACAGTAGGCGCGCAACTGCTCCAGCAACTTCAGCACTCGTACTTCTCGACGTCCAGCCCGTTCGTCGCTGCGCGCGTGGACGATGTTGTGCAGAGCTTGAGAAGCTCGGTCTATGGTGTCCTGGTCTTGGCCCGGGGAGTGTATTAGTTGGATCAGCAATGGCAAACAACCCGACTGCCGCATCGCCAAACAGCTCTCTGTCGAGGAGCTCATCGACAGAAGAGTCGCGCTCATGTCTTCGCGGGTTTCCGTGCATTCCAGCATACCGAGAAGACTGTACACCACGTCTACTTTCGTGCCTAGCCTTCGCTGGTCCTGGGCACCAGGCCAGAACTCCGAGCCCATGCTTAAAGCTGGAGGGATGCTCATCGTTCCCATCTCCTGGTTAAGGGCAGAATCGGGCGCGATTAATGTTGGGTCTTAATTACTTCCCGAGGTAGTTGTTATGTGGGAATGAGAAACTTTGGGCGCGACCCCTTCTTGCAGAAGGCAGTACAATCGGGACGTCAAGATCCAAGCTTCTCATTCTTATCAGGTTTTAACAATAACATCGAAAAGGTAGTATCCATGCTAAGTCTGAATCATCAGAAGTGAATGGTTCAACGAGGGTAATAAATTTGAGTGGAGTCACATTTGAATGCAGGATCTTCTCTTCTCATTGTGTTATAATTACCTCTACGTATGATGCGTTCACTTTTAGTTTGTGGCTGTTTAAATGGCTAAGATTTCACGGTACGATTATGATCTTATCGCCCAGACACCATCTCTACAAGTGTGCAGTCAGCGTGGTACCTTTCTAGTTCAAGACTGCGCATACATTTCGCAAACAATACAATATTTATATTGTATCCCAATGTAGGTACGGATGCTAGGAATACTGTTACTCGCGAATTCCCTCTATTACTAATAATAAATCGTCACTCTAGGACGTTGCTTCCAACCTACAGCTCGTAACACCCATTTCCAAACAATCAACGATTCCTTTTTGATGCGGATATCCCATCGGAATTAAGAAATGGCCCCGATGGTAAAAACTTTCTCTGAATTTCTCTGCAGAATTCGTTCTACTTTTGTCAATCACGGTCGGCGGTTTTCCAGAGAAATGAAAAAAAAAAAAGGCACTGCTGGAACATTGCTTAAGCTTGCGGAATCTCTTCAACGGTTTCTGCCAAATCCTGTTCGTGTATATAACGTTAAAGAAATTTCGCATTCGGTAAGAAAGCCATGAAAGCCTAAGAAAAACTTGATATGTATGATCCGATACGTGCTGGACATTATTTCAGCGAATTCTGAGTATAGAATATCAAGGCCAAAAGTCCAACTTTGCGTATACAGTAAGATCTATTTCTCAGCAGGATAATTACATTAGGCATGTTGATGGATGTGCTGTTTTGGCCAGAGAGAGATGTAAGTTGACCAGACCAGGGACAATGCTCTGTAGGCCAGGTCCTTGTGTATAACAAAGGCCGTTGAGTTTGCGAGCAAGTACCTGGTTTGGCTTTTTCCTCGTAATTGCCAAACTCATTTGAGCACTCGATGACACGCTCGGACGGCTAAAATCATACCGAAGGCATGAAGCCTATGAATTTGAGGGTTTGACAATGCATAAAAACTGGAAGAAATCGTACTTGTATTGAATTATTTAGACAAATTGTAACATCGTTATAAAATCCTTTAAAGACATTCTTAGGTTACAATGATTGCTTTAACGCGTTCATGCACACGAAAAAGCACACTATTGATAAAGATTATTTCCCCGATTGATCCTGCCAGTAATATTTGATTTTGGATCCTTTACACATGCAAATCTCAGCACGTACGCATAAACTATACATATATCTACATAACGCTACGACAATGCAGTACTTATTACGCAAAATTCTACCTGAATTTCTTTATGCTTAAGCTTAAAAAGAAAATTACACGTCAGTACTTTCTGGTCGTTAACAGTACTTTTGAACGCATAAAATTCCTACCAATACTTATACCTGTAATTAATCATGCCAGACACCATCTGTTCCTATATAATTAACGTGCAGAAGAAACGGATAGAAAAATAATCCGCGACATATTAAATCCCTGGTTGATTCTGCCAATAGCATTGCCCGAATTGAGAGGCGCGTCTAAATGCGTCACGCGAACTTGTGTAAAGTGCACTGTTCCACATTATGGAAATAAATACGATAGAGAGTTGCATCCCCAACGTAGAATCTCGCGTAGGAGTAAACAAGATGGCAGACGCGACACCCAAAAAGGCTGACCTTGTAACATGGCCTACAGGACACGTGCTCGTCCTCTTCGGGGAATTTCAGTTCCATGGCATCTTAATTATTTCCTTTCGGGGCTGTTGTTTCCGCGGGACGAAGCTGCGAGTAGACCCGACGTTTGTCCTACCGATGTCGGCATCTTGCGCTCCTCCTCGCGGCCGCGTATCGACTGACAGCAACACTCGCCGAGGCAGTCCTTCTGCTCTACGAACTTCTAATCGAGACGAGTCACTTAAGCCTCGCGGTAACTATTTCTTTGGCCTGGAACGCGCAGTAACTTGAAGCGAAAGGGGTGGAAATGTTTTGCACAGTGTTACTGAAGCCGCCATCTTGAAACGGCTAACTCGACATTTCCTTTGCATCGACCCGACGAGCCTGTCAGGGGGAATGCGCCAAGGTAGGCGCAGGTTAGCTGTCTCATGTATCTCCCCCACCCAGGTTGCAGGGAGACCGCTCGGTCTCTGTCGCTCTCACGTCGGCTATGAGTGTGACAAGGACACTCTTATGCGAGAGAGGTATAAGGGTCTCTCGATAAGTCCCTCTAGCGCCTCCCTGAGTTACACGAAGTAGTCAGTCGATACCTGGCGATGTTATTCACGGAATCTGACCAATGATATCGGAGAGTTGTTAAGGGGGAAAGATTTACAAGAAGTGGGAGGAATATCTAGGATCCTTAAGGTCGTTCTATACAACTTGTGGGTTTTTCTTCCGAATTTGGATCGAAGTACCGCTCCATTTTTGACTCTTTCATTGCTCACCACAGCGCTGATGTCAAACATCTGCGAGAAACTACTTTACCGATCATTTATAAAGAGAATATCGTAAATTCATAAATGACACGAGAAATCATTCAAAAATGTAGTTCCTAAATACTGGGGAAAGTCGATTTTAGAACGCTTAATTTTATTACAGGGTTTTAGTCGTTGTACTCGTATATTAACAAAAGGTATAAAGTAACAAAGGTATAAAGATTATACAAAATGGAAATTCCATATCCATTTATCCTGTAGATAGGAAGAGCCATGAGATAATGGTCAGAAATTATCATACACCTTTATGTATCAAAATGCGTCGATGAGATAAAATTACACTTGTACAGTTAAGTTTCTTCAATATCTTGTTGCACTCTCATGTCCGAATTTCCTTTGTAAAGGTTGTTTTAAGCATCATAGATACGTGAGTAAATAATTAGGCTACTTCCTCTGGAATCACACTTCATATAAGTTGATCGACACGTTGTAATCACATTTTAGATTTCAACTCCCACGTTAAGCTCAACACTGTTTCAGGGGAATCTCGACTGTGATGGTATATCATAAGTACACTTGCTGAAAATATTTTCCAAAACGCTGAATATGCGTTCCAGGCTCCTTCCGCGTTCTGCTCTTAAGCTCTTGAGTTCAGTTCTTCAATTCGCCATATTTGAAGACTCTAGGAACTCATAATATTGAGGTTACTGCTAATTAATCATTAAGTATCTAGAGACATTAAAGCTATCCGCAGTTTCTACACAAAAGGTTATCTCGCTGATTCGGAATATCGGTAAGATTCCTAGCAATAGGCAAAACATTCTTGTCCACATTTTGTACTTGTTTGTTACACCTGACCAAATGTCGCAATTCGTTAAGTTAGTTTGCGAATTCGACTCTTCAGTTTCCCATGGTCGGCGAGCTCTTGGTTGCGAGCATTAAATCCACGTTGATGCCCACAATTTTTGTCGAGCTATCTCAAGATAATCTCTGTACAATTCAGTGAGAAGAGAGCAGAATCACCAATCCGAAAGTTCTGCCATCCACTTAGGCCTTGGCCTCGTCTATTTGTTGGCCCCCAAGCATCACGTAACTAGGATTACTGAAGCTATCGATGGTGTCCTTCCTCAAATCGCTCTTCTGTTTTGGCATATTGACGTAGTTGTCCTCGTTTCGTACAATCGCAGGTATGTTCTCTTTCGCCACACCCTGCATTTGCTTGGCGTACTTGCCGGTCGCTGATGTGCCGCCATCCGGTTCGTCGTTTTGTGCAATATTAAGGTCTATCAGATGCATGTTTCTAGGAGCATTGCAGTATCCAGAGTCTCGTTCTGCCAGCCGATCGTTTTGATTATCCCTCTGAAGCTTCTTTTGCTCTTCTCGACGGTTTGCAAACTCGGCTCTGCGTTCAGCTACGTTAATGGGCTTCAAATAGCCATCTTCCTCGGTACTGCGTAGGATGGGAGCCAGCTCGATGTTGTCCTCGCAATCGGAGGAGCCAAAGGCGATTTTTTCTGATGGCGGGAACTCGAAGTGGGACTTTTCCAAGATGGGCCTTGGGCTGAAAGGATCAGACTCGTCCAGTCTACCAACAGGGGACATACAAATGTAGGACCTGCTCCCGTCTTCCGAGACTGGAGACTGAGAGTTTACGTAGTCGTGGGTCGGCGACGAGAGGGCCGTGTGATCTGGGGCTGACATCATCGTCAAGTAGTCGCTTTTCCCATCTTCCAGGAACGCCTTGTTCATCCCTACGTAAGGCTCGTTCAGGTCGATGTAACGCTGGAATCATAACGCATTAGCGACTCTCAGCAATTAACTTAATCTACCTCAATATGCTTGCAATCAAATAAAAGGAATTACCATCCTGACATCGTCCTCCAGCAGGTCACCGATGTTGTCGGCGAGTTCGGTGAAGGTTGGTCGCAAGTTGGGCTTCACTCGCCAGCATCTGAGCATGATTTGGTACCTGAAAAACGAGAGAGATTAATTAAAGCATAAGTCAAGGTGTCTCAATGTAAGTTTAGTGTTAACAGGCACTAACACTTCCTTCGTGCAGTATTCCGGCTGCTCCATCCTGTACCCTTCGATCAACTTCTGGTACAGCTTCTCGGCCTCCATCCCGGGATAAGGCGTCTCTGCTAGGGTGAAGAACTCCCAGAGGACTATCCCAAATGACCAAATATCCGACTGGGTTGAGAATACTCGATCTCTTATCGATTCGATTGCCATCCACTTAATGGGAAGCGGACCGTCGCCCTTCTTCTTATAGTTATCGTCTTTGTACATCGTCTTAGCCAGACCGAAGTCGCAGATCTTCACCACGCCGTTCTCGGCGAGCAAAATGTTCCTCGCCGCCAGATCTCCGTGCAAAACCTGGCCGATAAATAATTTATTAACCACATATTTTTATCATTGTAGGGAGTTTGGATACTAGTGTTCTTATTTTCCTATCTCGGTTTTCTGTCACTCCTTATGAAGAATTTTAGTTCATAACATTTCTCACAGATGGCGGTGACCAGAGTAGTACTGACTTACCATGTGAAGTATGAGAAGAGTCAGATTCATGAACGTAAAAATATATAAACGGAGCTCAAGTTCCATTTTAGACCAGGGTGGGAAGCCCGTGTGTCGGAAAGGGTGGGTGTATCGTTGTACCAGAGATATCACTTATTCCAATATCACGTAATAATAACAAATTGTTAACTATTTCCTAACAAAATACTTTTCTTTAGCAGCTAGAGGATATAAAGTAATGGAAATGCTCTAGAAAATTGTACTCGATTCCCAAAATCAAATACAAAATTTCCCACCAATGGACGTAGGTATTTAAAGGGTATCGTAATGCACAAAGTTAGCTACTTCTCGCATTTACGGTGTTGCCAGATTGGCCAAAACATTGAACTATTCTCCAGATAGTAAACCTTATAGTTCATTGAAAAAATCCAAACCTTTATATATCTGCAAAGAATTTAGAAGTCCTATAGAAGCCCAGATCCTATGTTAGCGCTTCATGCTCTAAAAGTTGGCTAACAAACCAGAAGTAGGGGTAAAAGAGAGATCGCATGTGTTAGCCAATGATATCTCACATACGGGAGGAAGAGAGACGTATATAGAAAGGCGAGTATTGTGGGTAAGATAAAGAAAGAATGCAGTTTGCTATATATCGCCATAAGATTAAGAGAGATGGAGAGATGATTACAGCGCCGCTATCTGTCGGCTAACGTACTATTTATCGAGCATCGAACGTCCGTATCCTTCTGGGCTTCTATGGAGACTTCTGAATTCTTTGGTATCTGGCAGATATCTTTATCCGGAGGATAGCCATCCGAGAGTATGACAAAATCGGGCAATAAATCCCGGATTTCGAATATGATGGAGACGTAGTCATTGAGTCAGATTTCTTGTTACCTTCCTATGGCTGAGGTACTCCATTCCGCGGGCTACTTGAAACGCCCAAGAGAGGAGATCCTGTGTGCATATCGGCTTCATGTTTTGATATTTGTAGTCACCGCGGTAATTGGATCTCCAGCCAGGCTGCGAGGAATTATGATTTACAGCACTCCCGTCTGGGGACATGCTGATGCTCTGGGAATTAAGTCCCGTAGAGTCCATCACAGGCACGCTGCCTCGATTGCCATTGTCAGAATCCACGCTGGGACTGCGAGAAAATGATAGTGCTGCGTATGTTAACCTGCTAGATAGGAAAATGGAAACATAGTTTGTTAGCCATAGCCCAGTCCGGAGGAACACCTAGCCACCTTTCAGGATACAACAGGTGTATGTTAAAACCATGCATTTGTATCCTGTATTAAAGGGTTGAAAGTTAAGCAGAGACGTAAGCAATTTAAGAAGTCGGATGAGTAGGTCGAAGAACATACATGTCTTAATTCTTCATTAAACATGGAGGATTCGACTGTTCTTGTAGTAGATGTTATAAGTTACGTTAAACATGCCACAAGTTGCATTAAACTAGCAAACCTGTTACTGTAGCTTCCGCTAGCTGTTCGGGTGAGAAGATCGTGGCCAATCGTTGGATCCAAGTTTCCACTGGCTGGATCGATTTGATCGATGAAGTCTTCCCTGTGACGTAGCAGAAAGTTGTGTAGGTTCCCGTACCTACAGTACTCCACGATGACCATTAGTTCTCCTGGAAGTTTTATAAATTAAAAGTTGTGTCTCCTTGCTGTTATGACCGTGGAAATAATTTTACTACTTGGAATAAGCGACTAACGTTTGGAGATGTTCTTTGTACAGGCGCCTAATAAATTGACAACATTTAAATGTTTGCCAAGGTGAACCATAATCTTGAGCTCACTGGCCAGAGCTCGAATGTAGGCTGGCTCGGTGGTCCTTCTGACCATCTTCACTGCAACTGTTGTTACTGGTTCTTCCTCAGAAATTCCGTGAGCTCTTGCTTTCATGACAACTCCGAATGCCCCACATCCAAGTTGCTTGCCTGGGGATTAATGAAGGTAATTTTGCAAAATTACAATAATAAAACTTATGATTAATTTACTTACCTAGCTTTAAACGTTCGCGAGGGAACTCCCATTTCTTATCATAAGGAAGTAATTCAGCCTGATCGTCAACGGTCAACACTGGGTTTAAACATTCCAATGCTCCCTCCTCAAAGTGCACAAGGCCTGCTTCCATCAATTCCTTTCTCATTATCTGTCAAAACATGTATGTAGCAGAATGTAATATTTATATAGACCATTAACGGATGCAAAGTAAAGGAACAAATTAAACGCTTTGTTTTACCTTTTCACGTCGCATTTTTATAAAGAAGTATATCATGAGAATGACGCAAACAATAACCACCACAGCAACGGAAGCTATTATAGTCTTGGAGATCTCTTTTCCTAAAATAGTAGATAGAAAGAAAAATTAAAATATCAACAATCTGGTTTACAATCTATGAAACATGATAATTACCTTTAATTACTATTTGTTGATAAGTCTCCACCATTCCCAAGCGGTTCTCAGCTTTGCAGGTATATTTGCCACTGTCACGCTCCAATAAATATTTAATCCGCAGCTCTTGTTTGTTGTAGAGAAACCAGAATTGACTATTGCCCGAGATCACAGTGTCGTCCTATTTCAACGTGTTAAATAAGCACTCGAGACTGCGAGTGATTTAAAAAGATAGAAAATAGGTGAAAAAAAAGTCAATTCTACCTTGTACCAAGTAATGTTAGGTTCTGGCATTCCTTCAACATAGCACTTGAGTATCACAGTTTTATGGCCTTCGCTTCTCAGGTCAAAGATCGCATCTGATTGGTTCATATTGGTCTTCGTAAAGAACGGAGCTCGTGGGTCTGAAACGAGAAAAGACGACACCCAATAAAGAAGAGAATCAAACAATATTTCTTCGCAATCCAGATTTAAATACCTTGCACCGTAATTGTATAATCAGCATATTCGATGCTGCCATCCACGGTCTTCCCACTGCAGGTGTAATACTTTGCATCTGACTTTTGGACATTTTTTATCCTGAGGACAGCTCGATAAGTGAACGGACTTTTCTCCTTGACGATTGTGAGCCTCTCTGAAAGATAAAGAAACATATAACCTTTTTTCTATATATCTCTTCACCGACAAGCATTCCTATAGGAATGTTCTACTAATTATTTTTGTATTTTGTTGTCTAGATTGTTAAACTTTACCAGTCTCTTGAATGGGTTGCTCTTCCTCATCTAGCCAATTTATGAAGTTGGTGTAATTATATATCGAGGCAGCACATATCAGGCTCACATCGTCTCCTTCCACGATCTTTCCCTTGGGCTCAAGAATCCCGAAGCCCCCGTTTCCGTCTGTAATTTTAATTATCTTTATTACAACACGAGGAAATTAATTGTTCTGATTAGTTATATTAATTTTATCAATTAATTTAGTACCCGACACGTAGATTGTCTCGGTGGCGATGTCGCAGCCGAGGTTATTGCAGGCTTCGCAGCTAACGTGCCCAGTCATTTCGATGGTCATTGTGACTTTCGACGTGAACGACGTGTACTTAGACACCGTCACAGCGTCCTGAAGAAAGAAAGGAAACCAGGTTAATCAGTTTTCTTCTCTAGTTCCCATTCAAATATTTTCACCAACGATTGCAAGAGAATGCTAGCCTAGATCGGGACTAACACGTGTCTTTAGAGTGAAAATTTAGTTACAGCTAAACGTCACAGATGGCGACGTTGGTCCTAAACAGTCGTTAGAATAATGAATTCCCGGGATTTCAACAGTTTTACATCGATCTCTTCATCATTACTTTACTGAAATGACATATGGAACGCTTCACCCAGTGAACATTGTTATATAACTGTTGGGTAAATGTTACGTTTCCGAAACTAACATGTTTTGTAGAATAAAAGTAACATGGAAGTCAGATGTTAGTTATTATTTCCCACTCGGTAAGGTAACATGTTATGTAACATGTTATATCAATGTTATAATTTCCGTTACCTTAAAATAATATTAATTTTTCATATATTTAATAAAAAAGATCACGCAATTTTATCCAAAATTATATAATTTTTTATTATTTTTTGGTACTTGACAATAGTTAGATATCAAATGACAAATCGGACTTTCAATGAAATTATGTAATGATAAACTATCTGATTTTACTTAAAGACAATTAGGATTTCGTTCGACTAGCAAACAATGACTGATAATGTATATGCGCGTACGAATTAAAGTCACATTTTTTCATAAGAGTAGTAAACAAAATATGACAATCTTATGACATTTGACGATGAATTATGACAATGACGATGACGATGATGTAATAAAATAAATGACAGCACCAATGTAGTTCTGTTTTGTTAGAAATATGTGCTGCATATACACAGTAATATCAGGACAGTAACATAATGTAAGATGAGAGTAACAAAGTTATGCTACATATATATAGATATGATAGTAAAAATGTTATGTAATCTGTTAGCTCCATGTTACATACCTGTTAAGTTACTGCATTGTAACAAATGTCATGTAATTAGTTAGCTCTATGTTACGTAAGTGTTAGGTTATTACAGTGTAACAAACGTTATGCTATTTGTTAGTTTTAAGTTACGTAACCGTTAGGTTTGGTGTTCAGTGGGCAGATCGTATAATTCTCAAAGTAGAGTATAAAAGACGTCGACATAAATATAAATGTCGGTAACGTGACGCGCCATCTTATGTTACCACTTGAGTATTCAAAATGGCGTTACCACGAAAAAGGGTACAGATGAGTTTTAATTTATCGACCTCGATTAAATTTCTCAGCGCCTTTCATATCATTTTAGGAAATGTTAAAAAATCTTTTGCACCAACCGGAAGCGGAGATGTCCAGGATCCCTCATAGGACGGATAATTGGGGCAATTAAGAAAACTCCACGTGATGTTCGGAGCAGGAAACGTTGCCACGTGGCAGAAGATCTCAGCCTTCTGTTTTGGGGAATAGTAGGCCTCGATTTTGTCCAACACGGTGATCGGCTTCGCTGGAAAAAGGAAGCATGCTCTCGGTATGTCTTCAAACAACTCGACAAGATTAAGGTGAAGTGAAACCCTCTTCAAATCAGTCGATTCGAATACAACACTTTTTTTTAAGGGTATTAGACCAAACTGTCCGAAACTTTGACACATCACTCCTTATCATCTAAGAATTGTCCTGACACATTCAAAATTTTGATTTTTGGAAACAATTTTTTAATTCGACCTAGACCAGGACTAAAATGGTGTCGAGCTCTCATATTTCGATTAATATACAATTATCGAAGGCTCTGATATGAGAAACGAAAGGTTCAGGACAATTTTATGACAATTTATAACACTCTGGTAATCGATAAACTCGCATTTGATCGGGATAAAGGCCAAAAAAGTGTTGTATGCGCTTCTATGCTAAAACGATGAGAATACGAGGTCTCGGAGTGAAAATTTAATTGTCCTGGAAATCACACATGGCGCAGCGAGTCCCTCAGCAGTCAATTAGGGCCCCAGAAAGCACGAATCCAGAGGATTTCTGGTGTTTCACTTCGATTTCTTTATAATTATTGTACGAAAACGACAGGTGGAATGTGCCATTTGGTACAATACCCGATATAATTCGACCCAGCTGTCAATATAAAAACGAACGTCGGCAACGTAGGCATTTAGAAAAATCTTCTTTATCGACGTCGATCAAGTTCCTTGACGTGTTTCACTTCACCTTAATTACGTGTAATTTATTGTAATGGTACGCGATAGACACCTATGACGTCCAGGGTGAAGTTGAGGCTCTCCATTTTGGCGTCATTGGTTGCCTGCAGGATGTACACTCCCATGTCATTGACATCGAGCCGGTTGATCCTGAGAATAGTTGACAGCTGGGTGGCATTGACAGCGTATTTCGACCTCTCGGGATCGGTCCATCCTTCGCCGATCTTTTCGCCTCTGGTGTTGAACCTGAATGGTTAAATTTCATGAATAATCAATGCACAACATTCCCAGACAGCATAAAATATTCATAGAATATAGAAAAGAAGTTGGAAAATATTCCTCATGTATATTCGACATTGGAATGATATTTTAAGTACAATATTAGATTATGTACATATGATAATGTTTCCCAGATATAGTCTAAATATTTCATGTTATATAAATATATATGTACAATATCGGCTTAGCAATGTCATTTGAAATATGGAATACTATTCTATAAATACTACAAGTGTTAGAAAAGCTTTGTAATATAACATTGAAATACTAAAGTTAACAATTATTTTATACATTTTCATGTACACCCTTATTTACAAAAAATCGAAAACATGCTAAATATTTCCTGCGATAATAATGATATATTATTACTTCACTTTGAATACACATACGTGCACGAATACTTTAAATTTATATTCCCTGGGTAAGTACTTTAATGTTTGTAAAAGTTGGTGCTTACGTTTCACTGTTTCAATATTTTATCTCACCAAATGTTGACACTAATTTAAAAATAGGATACTGAAACATGAACCTTTTGTATTTTTATTTGCGTGGCAAAAAATATCATTCAGATATGTATATATGACATGCTACTTCTTATGTGTTAGAAGTATCAATTCCATGTTCATACAATATTTCGTAAAATATATTTCGAATATAAAAAACTGACCAAAACTACATTCATCCAATGTTAAAAAAATGTCCATAGCACGTAAATCCATATTATATTAATATTGAAATATTTTCAAAGAATATTCTATGAACCTCTGTGCTATAT